ATAGAACATTTTTGGGTTATAGAAAATAGCAGCCAAGCGCTGAGGGAATTTATGATAGCTCGTGGTAGCCTAGAACTGTATTCGACTTCTCTAGTCTTTTTACAAATTTGCCACATGATATCATAAGAACTAACCTCAGAAAGCTTATAAGTCTTTATATGAAAGGCTATAAATACATCAAGGTACATGACAATAAAGTCACATATTCTAGCTCAAACATAACACAAGGCAATTATTATCAAGTTGAAGATGTAATATACAGGGTGTCCCAAAAGTAAGTACACAATTTTCATTTGTTAATAATATCTCTCTTTCCAATGTGTCTTTTTCCGCCATTTAAGCACCGTTCTGTAGAGAAGGCTTCATCTTGGATTTGCAGTATTGAGCGGATCACCGTTCGCTCTTCATTGATGTAGGATTATTGTAGAAACTTCGACAAGGATTTTAGGCCATTGTAAGCCATATTCTGCCAGGAACGAAACCAAACAAGCCAAAACTCTTATGCTATGGTATGAAAGCCGCTGATTTCTGATATGAAATTTTCACTCTACTGTGATGCTTCTTTCCAAAGTTATCCCAGGTGAAACGTAATAACCGAATTCCCAGTATTTGTCAGAAATGCGATTACACCGTCAAAAAAACTGAAACTACTCGTAAGAAGTTGTGTAGTGGAATCAGCGTGCGCGAAAACCCTAGTACATGATTTTTTAGTTGTTTTTTTTTTGAAAAAATTCTGTCAAATGGCATACTTCACAATGGTTCCACAAATAATATTTCTTCGATAAGCTGACTGCTTTTGAATTAGACTTGAGAGTGTGCAATAAAGAATATTCAGTTTAGTAACTAACACGTTTCGGACCGGTGCTGCACTTGGTGCAGCACGCTGCTTTGAAGGATCTTTCTGGCGTTTACAGGAGGTTTCCTTTTGTTCCTCGTTAAGTCAAAGATTTAGGCTCCTACTTTTTGAATGACTCTGTAGAGCTGTGCCACGCATATTTGTTTAGGAGATATGAGGACAGATCGAACAACAATTGCAACGAAGTGCAGCAACGCGAACGACGCGTGTGACGTCGCAAATTTTCTTTGCTTCGATTTCGAAGAGAAAAACCGTAGTTTCAATAATGATGTGCACGTGTACAACATAGATACTTTTGGATACTATTTGAAACTGAGTTCTTACTCCTATCTTTCAAGAAAGCACAAAAGTCCCTCTCAAGTGACAATATTCAAACACTTCGAATTCACTCAAAATTTTTGGTATGGAGCTTACCTGACATGCTGATTACAGATGTGGCCCACAGTCTGCGAAATAAGGTCCCTTTATAGGCTAACGGCTGAAAGTACACTCTTTTTTCGCCGCGCGCGATTTCACGGTCCAAAACCTGTAATGTAATAAATAAAGAGAATTGAAACACTTTTCCAAGCATTTTCGAAAGAAATTCTTCATACTTGCAATGGAAAATCAATTTGGACGAACCTACTAGGAACAAAAACTAATGGATTAAAAAAGATCTTGCGAACTATTTATAATGGAAAGTGATTCTGAAAGCTGCTTTTCAGTTCAATTGGAATTTTGAATTTTACTGAATATCCTGCAACCACCTAAACAAACATGAACGAAATATTAAAGAGCTTTCCAATAGTTGCAACGCATTCCTAGGCTAATTAACAAGGATCGGAGCGATCAGCGCATCGCGTACGGTACCCAGCTGGCGGCTGGCACATGCTATCGTTCATAAAACCACTCAACCCGGCAAATCATGTGAGTTCAAGTGAAGATAAAAATGATTTCAGATCCTGAGATGATAAACGAATAGCACGACGAAACCCACACCGATGCTACGAGTTAGAATCACTAAATTCGGTCTAACAGATGTTCCACGCATCCTTTTCAGTAGTTGAACATTACTTTCTTCTCGTACTGCTGTTACATTATAGTTGGTTTGGCTTCGGCTTCTAGAAAAGCATAGAACTCACGGATGAGGCTGACATTCCTCCCTCGCATTTGTGTACAAAATGTAAGCAGATCTGTCGAACGCTTTTGTTGCCTTAGGATTCAAAAAAGTCCGCCTTTGCAACTGACAATGAGTTCTTCGCCGCTCACCGGTCGTACTGTCATTTGATGTCCCAGTGGCGACCGTTGGCAATGCATAAAGTTCTGAGGTGACTGGTTTTATTTGATGAAGCAATCACGTATCCCACGAAAGCACAGAGCTGAGCTGGGCGTTCTAGGTCTTTATCAAATCGCTTTCTCTGGGTTTGTGTCTGGCGACTTTGAGTATAAGCGAAGTTCGCCTATATAAGGGACCTTCAAGTTGCAGCCTGTTTGCTATTGATCGGAAACAAAAAATCCCTAAATGTAATAAAAGTCAAGCTGCCCCCTTTTTTGCCGTTTGCCTTGATATTTATGTTGAAAAGTATAGGCGAAAGTACGTCTCCTTGAGGGACCCCACATTCTATCTTTCTAGGAGAAGAGAATGTCTGATTGATATGAACTATGAACGTCCGCTCTCTTAGAAATGCTTCAATCCAGGATATTATTCTCGGATGTATTCCTACAGCCTTGCTCTAGCGATGATAGGTGCTTATTCTCTAGGTTCGCATCGGCTTCGCGTTTAATCCCAATGTAGGCCAAGACATTTTATGCGGAGCAGCGCGTCCGCTTTGATGGAGATAATGCGAACGCACAGCGCTTGTATTTTGCCAATCAGAGATTGAGGGGAACGAGGAGACGCAGACAAGATTCTCGTGACGATATATGGCGCACTGTAGCTGACTGTAGCTTGCGACGGCGCGAACCTTTGCAAAGCGGACTCCTTCCACTGCATCCCCTTCTGAATCGGATTGAAACTTATTGTTAAAGGCACCGTCCACCCCGATTTTCAACTTCCATGTTTGGTTGTCCTGATGCCTTCTTATGTCCCTGATTTCAAATATAAAGTCGAGATCCGCGAAAACCCCGGCAATCCCCTTCTGGAGAACCCGCAGGCTAATAATCCGGAACCGCGATTGGATGGGCGCGCACGGATGGGCGGGCATTACTGCAAGGGGCGGTGCCGACTTGGGGCCCTCATGCCTCTTCGCTATTCCGGAGCGATTTTCTCGCGTCCGAAGCGACATTTTGCACCGCGACTTGGGCATTGGCTTGATAGGGGGTTCTATGATCGTAAGCTACCAAAAGCTCAAGACCTTCAACCTAGGGTGGTACCTTTGCTCCTCTTTGAAGATGGTGATCGGTTCATCGTTGGAGCTCGTACGCCCGCGCACGCCTCCCGTACATGGGCGACCTCCTTCGTCTCTAACATTATTCGCTTTCATACGAGACTAGACTCTAGAAGGATGCTGACCTGTTATTTCGCAGAGGGACATGGAGCGCGCACCTTGAAAGTTTGTGGTTCTTGGTGTTTCTTTCAGCTTTTTCCAACAATACGGCTGCAAAAAATCGTTTGCGAAGCATAGTAGTGAGTAGTATTCACTTTGTGGTGGTCAAACTGGTGTTTCATCGCTCTTTTTGGCCACAAAGAATGACAGCACACTGCAAATTTAATGATCAGGCAGTATAGGCCGTCCGCGCAGGGCGCGGAGAGTGCGCAAGGCGTGTATTGCGCGTCACTCCTCTTTCCTCATGCACTCTCGCCGCCTGTTTTTCTCTGCGCTTCTTCCAGTCGTAAACTGCCTCCAATGTACGCAAAAGCGTTGCTCTCCGTGCGCAGCGCGGACGGCCTATAATATTTATTCGCCAGTGTTTTTCAAGTAAGTTGCTATCCATTATGTAAGAAGGGTCGAACGACATATGTCAAGTAACAGCTGTCCACAACGTATGCGGAGAAAATGCATGACCTGTTGTAAATGAGAAATAGAACGAAGATCATGTCTCGCATCCTTCGAATGCATATCGTTTGACACGAACTCACCTTCATATTTTATGCAGTTTCCAGTAAAGTGTTTTATGCTAGGCAATACTGTGTTCAGAGGTGAGAACGCATCTCTGGCTGTGCCAGATTAGCATGTAATCCGGATAAGTTCGCCTAAGTCGGATTATTCAAATTATCCGTGTTGGAGTTTACGTCAACAAGCCTCTCTCCCTTCATACCCTAACACTCATGTTTACCTGCTCTGGAATTCAATTCAGAAATGTTCAGTTTCTGTTCGGAAAACTCCTAGTGAAGAAGCTAATCCTAGCTAACATGGATACGTGATTCATGAACGCCAGCAAAAAATGAGATATTATATTTGAAATAAGGTCACCGCGAATTTTCTCGAAGTTCCCAGGATTTCCCCAACATACAGGTGTAATATGTAAAGTGCTGTTCCACGCATACTTTGCATTATCATCCATGCAAGACTTACGGGTAAATATGTAAGCCCTACAAATTAACTTCTTCAGTAAAGGCAGCGACAAATACAAAAATAAATTTACGGCCGAGTAAATCTTTCTGTTTTACTCTCACACGGTCCTACACATCGCAAAATATTGACAAACGAGCAGGACCGGAAATATTGCAAAATCGCAGTTCTTGAAAGTTTCATGAAATTTTCTTTACTTGCTGTCATGGAAACGAAGGGAAACATCTTGCAAATATGTCGACCTGCAAAACATGGAAAAAGAACTTTGAGTCTCTACTGATAGGTACTGCATAATCTTGAGGAAAGTCGTATTTTTTTCCTACTCCCTCTTTGCACAATCTAGATCTATTTCTTTTCGAAAAGGCTTCTTCATTGCCGAAAAAAGAAAAAACAGCAGTCACATTGGCCTATACTCCAAAAGCTCACAAAACTTTCTTTTTCTAAACTTAGACGGTAATTAGTATTGGTGTTTAGTTGACTGGTTCAGAACAGCTGATGTAAAAAATAAGAATAAAATATTAGAACCCTGGATTAATTTTTGACTTTCTTCACGAACCTATGAGGTGATTTTTTTCAAGCAACATAGACAATCAAACGCCTACAAAACAGAACATGCGACATGAACAGTAGAATGACATTGAAAATAATTTATTACCATATTAAAATCTCCAAACAAATCTATAATATCTAGACACTAAGCTACGCACAAAATTATATCGACGACTCAAGATATCAATCAACCATCATTTCTACCTGAGATAACACCATTCAAGCCTTCTTCTCAAGCTCGATAAGGTGCTTTACACCGTCGTACATCTGCTTCACAGCTTCATACTCAGTAAGGCCAAGTCGAGCCTTATTCGATATGTCATAGACACCACCTTCAGAGTCGGAGTGCTCTCCATGGATACCACGGATCTGCAAAAAAAAGGCTAAGTATTTGCTGACTCAAAAAAGTGAAAGCAGCACCTGCAGCTTGAGATCATCACAGATCTTTTTGAAATCGGGCTTGGCAGAGATCTTTGGTAAGCGAATGTGAACTGAGGCGCGAACAGTGGTTCCTAGATTTGTTGGGCAGAAAGTGAGCCATCCCAAACGGTCATCACGGGAGAAAGGAGCTTGCGCCTCGATAGTTTTGACTCCCTTGATCAAGCGCTCGAGAACCTAACAAAATAAGCATAACATTTCAGGAAAGGAGATGATGACGACAGTAAATCAAGGCATAAAATATAACGAAAGGCAAAAAATTCAGCTTTACCTGTCCTACGTTGCCGCCGTTTTGCATGGAAATGATGCGAAGATGGTCTTCTTCATTGGCCCATACAAGGAAGGTCTTATTCTTATTATGGAAGATACCGCGCCCCTTGGGCCAGTATCTGCAAGCGTTGGCAGCTTGGAGGAATCTAAAAAATTGACTCTATACGAAGTCATTATAGAGTCATATAGAGTTACCTGTCTCCCTCCTTGAACAAGAAATGATCCTTGATCAACTGATTCTGCACATCCTTGGTCATGCCATCAAGTGGGTAATATGTTCCTTGGAGTTCCGGATCCTTGATGTTCTCGAAGATCTTCTTGACTTTACCCTCCATCTCAAGGTAGTTAGCCTCGGTGAGGCAAGGGTTGAATGGATATCCGGCAAGAGATCGTCCGCATCTTCAAAACAAAAAGAAAATCATGCCAGACCGAGAATCAACATAATAAGCGCAATTACCTGACACGAGTTGAGTTGATGAACTTTCCTTCGGGGTCGAGATCAACAAGCTGAGCGGTTTTGCCCTCTCCCAAATCAGTGGCTGGTTGCTTCTGGTTAGGCCCGAAACCATTGTGGTAGTCCTAGAAAAACTATGAGCATGAGTAAACCAATAGATATTCAGTTACAAGATACTTTATACCTGGATGATTGGATCGAACAAAGGTTTGAAAAGGGTGTATGCTTCCGCATCGGGAGCGTAAACTCCTACACCAGAGTCAAGATTGGCCACTCCTGCAAGATTTTGCATATTTAAGTTGAGAACAGTGCAGACTTATGAATGTAAATAGTGTTGTGATGTTCTGCAGAGGAACGAATGCACATTCATGCCTCAAATAATTGATGAAGCACAGCCCCAATGTGGATGGATATATTACTAACGAGTACATAAGGTTTCATTTTCTATGCAAAACATATTCATCAGTCTTCCAAGTCCCCATTTCTTTGAAACTGCACATAAGGATTCACCAAACTTGCAGAAGTAAAAAGAAACAAACGATGGTTTCAAAAAACCTACCAGATTGGATAACATCCAAAAGAGTTGCTCCAAGCTTGGTCTTCTTATCCTTCAACTGATCGACTACTTCTCTCGTGAGGTATTTCTTCAGGAGGGAGTGACAATCTTTCGCATTCTAAAAAACAGATGATACATTCTATTTGGAAATGAAAGGTGATGAACAATAATAACAAGAAACTATTTGGTTCCAAAGGCAACTTTACAGCAGTGATGTCATGTATGCCACTGGTCTTGGCGGAACTGGGTTCATGTCGTTTTAGGCTATCGATCACTGGGGAAGCGTCTCAGAAAAGGATGCCGAAGAACTCAGGCGATAAGAAAAGTGTGAATGTTGGAAAACAAGTTATGTGTAAGAAAGGCTGTTGCAAAATTGATGTGGCAGCGTTCTTTGCAGTAAACCTTGCACATAATCGCCTTTGGGGTTTTATCATAAACAAACACCTTGTCCGCGCGTATTATCAGAACGGGTTATTTGTTTTGTTAGGGAAAAAGTGACTTGCTTTTTGTGTAGTTCACCTGCAAGAAAAATTTGATACAGCAAAGGATTAAGAAACAGTTCTCTATTTGAAGAGAGATAGAAAGTACGTCAAGACTAATGGCAAACAGAGAGAAACGCGCGAAATCGCAGAAGAAAGCGCAACTGCCGCAACCGCGGCCCTTTCAGCAATTGAGCGCGCACTCCGCCAACCAACCTGCAGCTTGGTGAAGCCGTCTTCGATCTTCTGGATGACCTCAGGAGAAACGGACATGGTTGCGTCGCCGATGCTGGCACAATGAAGTCCGTCGGCAGCGTAATGCTCGCGCAACATTGGCCCCGCCTCAGCGCTCGTTCGTGATTCGACAGCTGCAAGCGGCGCAGTAGTAGTTCAAATTGCGTGTGCGCATCGGGCTGTACACTCACCCCGTAGTGAGGTTAGTACAAAGATCAACACATGCACTGTAATCCGGACCGACTGGACTCGGACTGACGCGATCGCTTGATATGAAAAGGCGATAGATCAACAACGCATCGCAGACTTGAGATATGCGCGGTTTTTCGCTCGAAGTTCCGCTAATCAGCTTCTTATGCCGGGCTGAGCCTCTGGGAATGAGATGAAGCAAAAAAAGGACTTTAAGTGGTTCAAAACTCTCGCGGTAAAGTCAAGAATCATGCTAGGCAATTTTTCTTAAAGATCAGTGCTCAAAAAATTGCCATCCTGACCTACAAATAGAAAATTATTGAGTCATGCATTGCCTACGATTCGGACAGATTAGGAAAAGTAGCTTATAAACATACGTCGCCATTTCCCTAGCGACAACGTTGACGTTTTTAGCCACCTCTACCTCTAATATGTACTTTCGGACTTCCTCTTACTAGATTTTTATCGCTCGTTTTGATGTGTACTCAACGCCCATCAATTTGTCATTGCATTGAAGAATGGCAAGATGGATGTACTTTGCATGTTTCATAGAATAAATATTCTGCGATCAACTCAAATGGTGACCCATTCCATTCGATGGGGGAAGTCAGGATGCTAATATGCATTTATATAATGTAAGATCCCCAAGATCATAGTAAATCTTCAAAAAGTATCGATTATTTGTGGAGTTGCCATTACTCTAACAGCGTTATCATGTCTCGAAAAATTTATTGAAGCAGCGATGTTGGCTTCCGAATACGAGATTGGCTATGCCAAGTCTATGGGGACGCTGATAGCAGTGACCATGACTAATGGCGAACAAATTGGATGATTTGGTAGGATCCATAAATTGTTAGCTTTTAGCAGTAGAAGTCTGGAATATATGTGCCATTATTTGATCCACGCCATCGTGACACTGTTGAGCTTTCATGCACATGTTTTTTTTCTTTTTTTTTCTTGTCACGAAGATGGAGTCGTTTCCAGTGAAGATAATGCTATCATGACTGGATCAGCAGAAAGTTAGCAATTTACTAACGTATTACCTATCAGAAATGTATTACATCAAAGTGGCATACTGCGTTTAATTATCAGTTACTCATATCTCGAATGAGAGATGTCAAGAATAGTTTTTTTGGAAAACTTGAAAAACAGGACGTCGTGGTGTGACATAGAATTTTTGTTATGATTGGGATTCTGCAGCTCTTTGGAAATTTTCTGCCATAATTTTTTGGCACCTGAGATAATTATCGTGAAATGCAGTCGACAGAAACTGAAAATTCTATGATTATTACTAGTTGGTCCAAAGTCAAGTCTCTGAAACTTCATGGCCTCTAATCGATTCACAGCACTAATCGCTAATCCATGTTATCCTCAGCAAATCCATCACCTAATGCATGCTTCCAAAGCTTCAAGAGATCCGAGAAGACTTTTTTCAAAACAAATTCACATGATAACGGTGGCATTTTTTGCAGCAGAAATGCTCATGTGATAGCGCAAAACAAGAGAGGAAATTTCTTGAGAAAGAAATGAAATTTTGCAAACAAAGGGTGTGAGGGTTTAGCTACAAAGAAGGAATGCGTGGTTTTGCTACATTGTAAAAAAGTACGTTGTAGAACTGTAGATTTCCGTGAGGGGACAAGAAGCAAAGTCTATTTTCACGAGCTCAGTGTTCGATAGCTGCTCCAAAATAAACATCGGAACAAGCTAGAAATTTTTTTAAAAAATCTTGACTTGCGCGGGACTTGGAGCTGTTTCCGCTTTCCAGCAGCGAAATTAGCAAGCCTCCATAAAGATAGCAAAATAGTGGATAGCAAACCATTGCAGTACTTTCTAGCAAAGATATTTTCGTATATCCAGCAAAATAGTGGATAGCAAATCTTTGCAGTAGTTTCTAGCGAAATTATTTTTGAACATCTCAAATCAGCGCTGCTGCATTGTGCTACCTACTTCATCCCACTATATAAACTTATTTTCGCCAAAAATTTTTCTATGAAAAGTTTTTTTCATGAATTTTTTTTCGGTGATGCTTACTTAACAATAGTAAGAACTACCACAGTTGGTTATTACACAAAGTTCTTACTCCAACCAAAAATTTATTTTGTAAACAGTTTGTGATCCAAAAGTAAAATATGGAAAACTCTTAACAATGTTTCAACCCATTATTATTTCTTTGAGAGTTTTGACATATACTTTTGATGTTTACAATCAGTTCGAGACCTGCAGATAAATAATGAAGAAAAAGCGAAATGGAAAGATTTATTTATCCCTTTATTGAATTTCTAATAAGATTTTTTGAGAGCTTTCGTTGTTTGGGTGAAGACTGTTCCACTCTTACAAAGCTTTTGTGCTTATTGCAGCTTGTCTCAATGCTTCAAGGCTCACTAATGATGGATAAACAATGCGCAATGGAGGTCAGGCTCAAAATTATTTTTGTATGAAAGCGGCAACTGGAAGATGTTACACGAAAAGTACTGTATCAACCAAAAGTATGTCAAATTTTTCCGAGTCCTTCTTCTAAGGATAAAACGAAAAAAAAGCAAAACGTTTTCTCGAAATGTGCTTGTATACTCACAAGCGATAGAGTAATTGCAAAAGTAATTCTTTCGAAACTTCATGAGCTAGAATCTTGAAAATTAGAAACTTATCTTAAAATTAGAAAGTTATCTTCTAATTTGAACCTATTAGAATGCTAGCGGCTGCACTAACTTGAAAACGGAACAAAACCGACCAGAAATTCTGAAGTAGATATTGCCGGCGAAGGCGTTGCTAAGTAATCAGAGTTTGATTAAGCTCTTATAGAAGTTGCAGAAAACAGCTAAACTACATAATGTTATTTTGTACCTCCAACAACATTCCAGAAATTTTTCTTTGATAGATGTTGCTCATGTGAATTTTATGTAAAGATGGATGCCTTCACGAAGCATTGAAATTCAAAGAGAAAAATACTGAACCACTCAAAATAATTAGAGACAGACTTTTATCCCGGAAGATCTCTCTGCTTTTCCTTCGCTTAATAAACAACCTCGTAAAATGAAAATTGAAGAGCTCTTGAAAATGTATACAATGAGCATTTTGCTTCCAAGAGCTTATACAATTTTCGAATTCTTCTGTTAAAATCCTTCGCTCGTACTTCTAATTGCTCCAAATTCCTCTAGCTTCTAAAATTTATTGTTTAGACCCTCAGAAAAACAAAGCGAACCTTGCGCTATATGCTACCGTTTCTACATTTTTCAGATCTGCTGTTTGACGACAAAGTCCTTTTGAAGATCTCTATTTTTGGTATAATGAAAAAAAACACATGAATTTGGTGTAACCGTTGAAGCTTTTCGCACTTCGGCGTTTGGAAATTTGGCTGTCATTAATGTTCATTTGTGCAGAATATTCAAGTTTGACTTGATTCCAAAATTTTCAGTGTTTTGTTAGTACCAATAGATGATGGAAGAAAAGAACAAAATTCTTAGGACGACTTAATTGAATTTTTCATGCGTTATCGCCCAGTGCCAAAATCGATGAGAGGTATTTCAGAATGTTGAAGAAGATATGAAGCACTTCTCCGTTTTTGAATGGCTTGAGAAATTTTCACAAGTATCTCATATTTATTAGAAAAGATTCGTCAATGGCAGTCATATCAGATCCAAATTTTTAAATAATCACTTCCAAAGTAGCCTTAGCAATTCGAAGGAGTTTTCAGTAGCAAGATTGAGGTTTGGAATAAGTTTACTAAAATTGGCCAAATCAACATCGAGGTGGCTCGATACTTGTTCTCACTTTGAATGACCTCTGAATCCTTTGTTATATTTGGATTCACTTTCCGAGCAGGCGCAAAGCTTCCCGTTAGCAGGTAGATGTCAACTATCGTTTCTCAGAGTTTTCGTGATATATAAGATGTGGTAGCAACCTTCTTGTGTACTTTTTTCTTGAAAACTGAAGTTGTTTCCTCGGCAACAGGTTTTCAGCTCCACATGCGATGAATTCTATTTCACAAATGCTAAGGTCAACTTCTATCAAAATTTTGCAGTGTACAGGGCATGAAAAACAATTCTGATTTCAATCTGGAAAGAAAGGTTTTTATTTTAATACTAAACTGATGACGAACTCCCGATCTTTAGGAATTCAACTCACTGCGAAAAGAAGACAAAGTTGTATAATAATTTCGTACTGTCATTTCCATTAGATGGAGTTTTGGTATCTAGACCCTCTCCCGGCCTCAGTAAGAAGAGGAGGTCTAGATTGATTTTTAGATGAAATTTTGAAAAAAGGTTGTAAAATTCACTTTTTATATTTTTTATATTTTTCTTTGATGGACGTTCTTCTATGTCTTAGAGTAAAAATGAACCTGTTTTGCCTTGTTTGTTCCTATTTGTTGTCAATATTTATTGAATATATTATCCATACTGTACTTATCTTTTGGTTTGGAATGCTATACAGGGTGTCGCAAAAAATGTATCGAACGTTTGATCGTTAATATCTCTCTTCCCAAGAAGTCTTTTGCCTTACTTCAGGTACCGTTTTGTAGAGCTGGCTTCAACTTAGATTTACATTATAAAACGAATCACCCATCTCTCTTCATTACTGTAGGATTACGATAGAAACTTGGAACATATGGTGTCAATGTGGAGAAAGCTACCGTTTCAGAATTTTTTTAAAAAATGTGAAAACTAGTGTATTGGGGTTTTTATGGACGCTGAGTTCAATACTCAACTATTCACAAGATTACGAAGCTTTCTAAACGGCGTAACCGCACTTTTTAGGAACATTGAAAAAATGGCCGCTACCTCTTACCTGGCATAACTCTTCAATCCAGCATCATAATAATTTGGGAACTTTACATTTATAATCAGCAACTCTAATTAGCCTAGTGTAAAAGTTTTCAGGCTGTTTAGTTTCCTTTCGGGGGAAAATATGGCCTTTCATTGCTTAAAACCCTCTTTGAAGTTTCTACCGTAATCCTACAGTAATGAAGAGAGATGAGTGATTCGTTCTATAGTGCAAATCTAAGTTGAAGCCAGCTCTACAGATTGGTACCTGAAGAAAGGGGAAAAGCTTATTTAGAAAAGAGATATTGA